CAGATCACTTTTACAGGTGTATTTAAAGACATTAGTACTGGGACTATTTCATTTATTTATTCTCTTTACATACATATATTTATTTTACCTATTATTTTCATGTCCCTATAGCGCGACCTATATACCATTTTTCTGTTTGTCTATTTCTTCTGAGGGCACGTGAGGGAACCTCAAAATTATAGGTTGCTGCTTTCTCATTCGTTCTTAGCCTCTATTAGATTATTTAGCGCTGATCCATTATCTATCCGTTCGATATCATGAGATGTGTATGTATGTATATATACATACATACATACATATATATATACATATACACATACATATACACACACACACACACACAATACATATTTTCATTTTGGCGCACATTTATTACTACACTACATTCATCTAGCAAGAAGCATTTAACAAACATACATTATAATTTAATATTTATGGAAAATGAAAATTTAGCAAAGGCAGCTTCAACTCTGTGTTCATCTCACATGCATACGTGAAATATTTTGCAATAGACTATTACAAAATAACTCCCATATTTACAGATTAGTAGTGGTAGATGACAAAAGCACAGAGTAACTGGATCAGCATTACTGAAAATGTAGTTCATAGCAGCAGAGAAAATTTGTCGTCAACACTGCAGTCATATTTCATTTTTAAACTGGTCAAAAAATGTAATTAAAACGTATAACACGCTTTACCACATGCAAGTGTCTCAATAAATTATTTTTTTTACCTTGTGACTAAATATATTCTATATAACTAATGTATGTGTATGCATGCGTATGAATTTTGTGCTTAGTTGAAAAACACCAGAGGTGATCAAAACGTAGATCGCCAGTTGTAGTAGAATTTAAATGATCCATTGCCAAATATAAGTCTTTCCCGAGTCTACTTTCAAATAATTGTGAGGATTGCCTGCTTGATATCTCAGATCTTACCGGTTATCTGTTGATTGTCCAGCTGTTGCTATTAAAGAAGAACTACTGACGAAAACAAAATCATTGGCAGTTTTGTTGTGGCATTGCCACACCTGTCAAAAAAAATAAAACATTACACTTTAGTAAAAGCATATATAAAATTTACAGCGTATAAAAGCAGTTTAGCAGGGAACCTACCAAATAAGGTTTGGGCGGGCTTCCTGCAGCCGTACTATATTTCCAGTTTGTCTGATACAGACTTATAAACCCATCAGCATCAACGATCCCAAACTGCAAATTTGAATACAATAATAAGCTGTAACTGCGAATATTTATTAAGCAACAAAAGAACAAACACAAAAAGTATAGAGTTAATACACTTCATAATCTTAAAATCTACAGCTGAAAGGGATCATTGAATCAAATAAAATAATTAAAAAAAAAAAAAAATTTTGATGGGGAAGAGGGATGGATGTACGCATATTTAACTTCTATTTAAACATACATTTTGAGATGAGTGGGGAGAGGGGGATGCATTCTTTCTGAAATTCTCATGCAAATCACATGCATATCACAAGAAGCTTTTTTTGTCGCCTGCAGCAGTGTTACTGAAATCTAGTTCTGTCTGCTAAAGGAACAATGCAATAATTTCTTTCATGATTAATAATGTAAAATAGTATTATACATAACTATTAAGATGCAATGACCTGTTAGGACGTACGTTAAAAAGATGCATTTGTTTGTGACACTAGACTATTTCTTTTTCTTCCCTTTATATTATTGGCTACCCATTGACTTGTTAAATGGAAAAAAAGCCATAAGACTTACTTGTAATTGAGAGCCAGAACAGACTCCAACTCTAATGAAGTCATCAGATTACTTTTGTCCAATCCAATGCTTCTCCTGGAGAAGCATAGGGGAACACAGGGTGCATACATAACCATTGCTGCACTCTGTTTTGTACAGCTTGTTCACACATATCATGGGGTATGGCGTTAATTTCTTCAATAATCTGCTGTGATTATGAGGGCGATGTTTGAACACTTTTTCCTTCAGATATCCCCAAAGAAAAAAAATTAGCAAATGCTTAAATCTGGTGACTGCGGACGCCACCCCACATCACCCCTCAGAGAGACCAGATGTCCAGGAAACATTTCTTTCAAAACATTGAGTGAATTTTGGGCTGTGTGGGCTGTAGCCCCATCCTGTTGGAACCAGAACACCCCCAATTCCTCTTCAACCATCTCTTCCATTCTGGGCCGCAGGAAATTTGCCAACATTGAGACGTTCAGAATTCACTTCCTACTTAAAAAAGTAAGGGCCTATCACTCCAAATCGTCATACAGCACACCTCACCGTTAGCTTACGGGAATGTAGCAGTCTTTCATTTATCATTCGGGGGTTATTTTGAGCCCATTAGTGGAAATATTCCTTATTCACAGCTCCACTGAGCCTCGTCGCTACTGAAGAAAACTGCTGCGGGAGGAATCTGTGCAAGCATTTGCTCACACAGATTTCTGCGGTTGGCGTAATCTGCTACACTCAATTTCTGAGCCAACATCACCTTGTAGGGATGAAACTGCAAATCTAAATGAAGAATCCTCAGACTACGGTCTGACATTCCCAAAGCAACAGCATGTTTTCGAGCAGAACGTCCTGGCGACTGCTTAATTGCTGCTGTCACCAGCTGCACATTTTCTGGTGTTCTTATGGACGACCCTCGTCGATATGTACCTCTTTTAAGTGTGGTACCAGTTTCCTCCAACCGCCTAACCCATGACCGAATAGTGTTCGCATTAGGAATGGCGTTGTTGCGTGGAATGTTGAACTGTCGCTGAAAAGCTCTTTGCATCACGATCACAGACTGGTTGTTTTCTAACTACACCCACATGGCAAAGTTTTGATGTACTTCGGTCCAAACCATACTGGCTACTGAAATGGGGTGACTGACAGAACACAATGAGACCAGGTGCACCTGCCTCCCCCCCCCACCACAGCCCGAGCATTGACCCCTCAAAACTGCTTAATCGGTTCTGCTGCATCCTGTACCCGTTTGCCTTACTGCCACTAGAGAGAAGTTATGGCAAAAACATTGTAAACATTGCAGATTTTTTTGCATGTATGCATCAAAACCACAACAATTAAGTAAATAAAACCCAAAAACTTTAAGATCAACTTAAAAGGTTTAAATGACAATGTTATAGTAGAACAGAAGTAAGGAATACCTTATTTCCTTGATGGTTAAATCGTATCCGTGTAACCCTTGAATTTCCTGCAGACCGAAAGCATGTTATCTGCTGGGAATGTCCCCACTCGAACATTCGCACGCTACCATCTTGAGCACCTGTCAGATCTATTATAAAAATAAACTGTTAATAATCCAGCCTCCATTATACTAACCTTAAAAAGCGTTATAAATATATATATTTACAGTGCTAGTGCATAAGAGCTGCAAATGCCCACCTGTCTGAAGACACCACAGTGTGACATGCTTAAAAGGAAATTAGCAAAGCGGTATTCAGTCATCAAAATCAAGGCTGTATTCCCTGAAATCCCTGATTTGGAAGTTTAGGAACACAGTGCTTATTTATCACGGATCATCTAAGCCACTCAGGCATTAATCATTCTATGCAACAAGTAAAACAAATACTAAAAACAAAATGTAAAATTAACTTACAGTAAGGCAATGTTGGATGAGAGGCCATTCTTCTGACATTATTGATGGGCTTCTTTATCAGCTAAGAAAAATAATGGAGAAATACAAACATAAACTGAGTTTTCAAACAATGTTTTGTGAAAGAGAAATTTAAAAGAACTTTCATATCTCATGTCAATTTTCAATACTCAGCTAAGACATGCCTGTTTTCCTACTTATTCTAAAAAAAAAATAAATAAATAAAAAATGCGCACTTTTCTAATGCCACGTTTGTGATTCAACATATATGTTGTGGTTGAGCTTGTTTATGCTGTCGTGGCATTACGGGCAATTATGTATTTTTATGCACAGCTAAAATAAAGAATTATTTAAAAAACAAACAAAAAAAACCCACTAAAAACGTGGACATTTGATACATACATTAAAGGAAAACAACAAGCACCATAAATGTGAGCACACTCAATCAATAAATTAGTTTCTATCTTGCACAAAATTGTTGTGTGTTTTCTACAACTTGAGAAGACCGGAAGCATTGTGGGTGCCCAGAGAGATCGAGGTAAGTGTCAAATAGTTTTAAACTGGTTTTACCTGTAATGGTGGAAATGAGTCAGGGCAATCATGGCACCATAACCAGTATAGCAGGCTATAGTTATTTTAAACAATTTTAAATACAGGTATTTATGGTGCTAGGGATAAAAAGTTGTGTTTGATCATAAACTCAAAATAAAAATATCACAAAAAAAACCAAAAAACATTTAAACACCACTAGGCAAACTAGCAAGTTTCACAAGGCACTTTACAGTATTGTTTTCTTGGGACTATAGTGTTTAACTATTTAGGTTTCTGATCGCTTAGGAAAGGTGATTTTACTACACCACAGCTGGCCCCTCTTGACTATAGGGTCCATTTAGTAGTGATTATTATAAAATGGTTGTACAAAAATATCATCATATTCTGAGTACACGGGATCTCTGGATATTCAGTATATGAATTAATCACAATTAACATTTACCAATTTATTTTGCATTATTGGATGACAGAGAGACACAGAAAACTGCTGCATATCAAGCAACAATACTAAACATTTCTTACCACAGAAGCCCCGCGCCCAGTTTGTGTAGCTCCTAACCAAGGCATATTTAGAGGAGTGCCAGGATTGCTGTGGGTATAAGGAGTAGAACTTTGCACAGCTGGAACATCTTCACGAGTGTGTACCACCAAGAAGTCATCAGAACTAATCAATAAAAAACCAAAACAAAAAAAACATTATATATATATATATATATATATATATATATATATATATATATATATATATGTATGGAGGCAGCTACATAGAAACTCTATATGACAGCTTAACTACTCTACTAGACAGGCCTTAAAACGTACTTACTACTGCGAGCATGAAAAGTCCATGGCATACTCATCAGGTACTTCCACTAGCCAATTGCTAGTGGATATTTTGAATATATATATATATATATATATATATATATATATATATATATATATATATACTCAAAATATCCACTAGCAATTGGCTAGTGGAAGTACCTGATGAGTATGCCATGGACTCTTCATGCTCGCAGTATTAAGTTTTAAGATCAATCTTGAGGAAGACCTGAAGAGGTCGAAACGTCGATCGAACATTTAATTATGTTGGACATTAAATATTAATGATTATCTTCAAAAGACCACAGAGTGCATCTCTTTTTTACTTTGTATCTATACCCAGCGTGGGATTGCACCAAGGCATATTTTTTTACAGACTACATGAAAGGGTGAGTGCCACTATATCTATATATATATGGTATGTGCTCATCAACTTCTGAGCTCTAATAGGTACAAGCATGCTTTATTAATACAGTTTAATGTTTATATGGGAATCTATAGAACCAATTATGACTGCATCCATCTGACAGTAGGCTGTTCCAACATGAACATATTTTGTGGAGAATGCTTTGGAATATTTTTTTGTGTAAGCAAACAGGGACAAATGATATAATCTGCACTTTAACTGATGCAACAGTGCATGGAGTATCCTTTTAACAAAACAAAACAAACACTACATGATCAATCAAGCCTTACTCTAAAAATATAAGATCAAATTATGTTAAGCAATGAACGAAATCAAATTGCTGTAAAGCAATTAAGAAAATGACATTGCTGTAAAGCAGTGATGGAAATTAAATTACTATAAAACAATGAAGAAAATTAAATTTGAAAGTGAAAACCATAGCTTGTGGCAGTCAGGACTATAAAAAAAAAAAAAAAAAATTCAGCAATAATGTCCCTTCAAAATGCATCCATAAATATTAACAAAATATTCCAGTGTTAAACTTAAAATAATTTTCCTTTTAACAGCTCCTTAACTTATTATGAAATTCCAGAACGTTTAAATTATTTAAAAATATAAAAATAAACCAGGACACACATTCCCATGACAAAACAGAATTAAGTAATTACAATAGTTTGCATCCATGCGATTATCCATGCAACAGGCTCGGTCTGTTTCTTTAATGCAAAACAGTTTTTCAAGTCTTGTGCATATTTAAAATGTTATTTCGAAGTTTAATATTTTGCACATTTGTGTTGATTATGCAAACATTTTACAGTTAACTCTGAATACATTATTTGTAAACACTGTGGAGATCACAATTTTTCCTTGTGTTAACGAGTTTAAGAAATACACACACACACACACACACACCCTTTATTTTCCAGCTCAAACTCATCATCAATCCAAGAATATATCTGTGTGGCCAAGATTGAAGACACATCAAGCTCCTGAATATCGTGACTGGATGCTATTGCAATGCAGTTTCTGTTTGCCTAAAGAGAAAGGAAAATAATTATAAAACAGGTTACATTATTACCTCCATCTAATCATAAGAAATCTATGCATGAGAAATAAAACAAAAGCACTTATTAAAACCAGTGTATACTTAAACATCAAATTAATGCCAATGGGTATAATTATAATAGCAACACTATAAATAAATAGATTAAGTTCATATGATGATTTCTGGCATTATAGTTTGCCAAGTGTTCTCAGAGCGAGCTACATTTGAAATATTTCTCATATATAACTTAGACTAGTCTACTCCTTGTTAATCACCTGCCTTCAGGGTTTTTCTTGTGGACGTTATGAGTACTGAAGTAAGTTTCCAAGAAAAATATATTTGTAAAATACTATCAAAAGCCATTAATGGTGATTACAGAGAAAATGTGCTTATTCGCATACTTACTTTATTTACTGCAAAGGCCGTAATGATGTCTGAGTCTTTATGAATTATTCTTGCTCTTCCTCCAGAAGACCCCTGATCTGATTCAGTCTGGAAAGAAAGGGGGAAGAAAAAAAAAGTCAAACAGAGAAACCCATTTTAAAATGCTTTATATTCTGGTAAAATAATAGATTAACCAAATCCGCTATAAAATTTTAATCTGTCATGTTATAGAGAAATGATAACCAATTATTTTGACAAACTCTATATGTGGATGAGTCCAGACTTATAGGTTATTTATTTATTTATTTTTTAAAATGCTTTATTTTTGTTTGTGCATAGATTATACATGGTACATTTAAGCCGGCAACGCCACCACAGCTGTTGCCAGAGATTCGACACACAATTAGAGACAATTGTGTGGCATGAAGAATCGTGCACATTTTTAAAGTGTTAGTGAGGGTTAAACAAGTGTAGTATACAAGAGAAATTACAATGAAGTAACTAGTTAGTTCAGGCATTAAGTACTGTGGTAATGTTTAAGTGAAGCTAACTGGTCAGCAGTAGTCAATACACATGAGAAAGTAATAGTGGTAAGGAAACTCAAGGTAAATCAGGCATCATGTAACACTATGCTTTGATTGTCTGGTCAAGTGTTATGGTAGTAGTGTCATTGTAGCTGTGCTTAAGTAACAGAGTGTATGTAATGCCGCGCACGGTTTTGTTTTTAATCCACACTGTATTAAAATAATAATCTGTTACATAAGAATTAACATATATTCCAAGCCTGGATGAACAAACTGGTGAAACATAAAAGAAAAAAAAAATGCTTCTTTGTGGTTCCTCTGAAAGCATACAGGCTCATTTGTTATTGTAATATTTTGCTGTCATGTTAATGAGGTGTATGTACCAATTGTCGGCTTATTAAATACAGCAGAGAGGTGAAAATAACTGTTACTCACAGAAGCTGCATAATTCAAACTAAGCCAACTGAAACTACATGGGGTAAAACAGTCATCCCACAATCTGAATACTGCTATATGATTGGTTGGTATTTATTTATGCAAATATTACAGTTATGTATATCAATATAGCTGGTGCCCAGTAGAGCGATATCAGAACCTTTAAAAAAACACACGAGGGAGAGAGTATGCATTTTCCATAGACCAATACATTAAGTTGGCCACTCTGGAAGCAATATTCAATATAAGCATAGTTTTACAAACACATACATACCTCATTGAGACTGTTTTTCTTCGTAAAAACATTTCTTATAAAAGTTTCTTGGATGCATTCTTGTTTAACCAAATATTGCCAGAGCCTCTTCACTGGTAACGTGCTTGAATGCTTTGATCTAATGCATACACATATATACACACAAATAAACTAGCAAGAATGAAACTGAAAGCAAAATGCTATGAGAATCTTGCCTGAATATAACAATAAATTCATTTTAGCTTGACTAAAACAATTGTGTTGCAAAGGATGAAGTAATTGTGTCCCATTATGTATATAAGATTCTTAGCTTAACCATTATGAAAGTGCTTAAAAGACCACTATACGCACCCAAACCACTTCAGCTCAATAAAGTGGACTGGGTGCCAGGTCCATCTAGGGTTAACCCTGCAGCTGTAAACATAGAAGTTTTAGAGAAACTGCTATGTTTACATATGGGTTAATCCAGCCTCTAGTGGCTGTCACATTGACAGTCGCTAGAGGCGCTTCTCACTTTGAAAATCACAGTGAGAAGATGCTGACGTCCATAGGAAAGCATTGAGAAATGCTTTCCTAGGGACTGATTGAATGTGCGCGCAGATCTTGCCGCGCATGCGCATTCGGCGGATGATGTCGAAAGAGGGAGGAGAGTCCCCAGAGCTGGAGAAAGGTAAGACTTTAACCCCTTCCTCCCCATAGAACCCAGCAGGAAGGGTACCCTGAGGGTAGGGGGATCCTAAAGACCCTATAGAGCCAGGAAAACGAGATTGTTTTCCTGCCACTATAGTGGTCCTTTAAGATTGGCTCCTCACTTCCTGGGTGAAACACAAATTGGAGGCTGCTACAGAAACCAGAAAACTAAATCTTAAATATTGCTCAATCTCACAACAACAAATCTCACACCAAATGTGTTCTTAAAGGGAATATTGCAGCACATCTTTTGTACCTCAGCTTGGCAATGAAATATACCAATAGGTTTACACGATTTGTAACTATTCCTTTAATTATTATGCCAAACGTTTTAACTTAACACCTTGATTTTGTTTCCATTTTCCAAAATGTATAGGTTTAAGCCAATCCTTCTCAGCAGAGAGCTAAAGTCTTACTTCCCTGCATGTTAGCCTTTAAATTTGATAAAACATTTATAGAATGTCGTTTTAACATGAGTTTTACACAGATTAAATGTGCTAGCTTTTTTATTTTTTCAAGCATCTTCAATGTATAGTTTCTCATAGCTTTATTTTGACTGCTGGTGATCTTTGGTTATATCTGTATACAACCTAATTGAAAACAACTAATAAACCAGAGATATGCTAAATTTGATATCTTCAAAAATATATTTTACAGCAATGGTCAAAATAAAGGATTGTATGTTGCTGCATTTTCACCTGCCAACATTTTAATACATTAACACTTAATAAATTATATAAAAATAAACTATAGTTTCTAGCACTTTCCACTGATGCTATTCGACAATCCAAGGACATGTAACAGCATAAGGCACTATTTTATTCTTAGGAAGAATCTTTCACAGGCTTACAATATGCAAATTGGCTTACAGATCACTATTAAACCTCAAACAAAGCCACTATATATAGCGTCGAAGCAGAGGCAAGTGATTGTATTATTATGTACTAAAAAGATTTTGTATTCTGACTTCACAACTAACTTCAATGAATGCAACGTTTATCACATACAAGGTCTGTTTAACCTGTTACTTATGATTTAATTATCTATGCTCAAGTGTGATTTACAGACAACTTCCTAAAACCGTATTCCCTAAATAACCTAGCACACACTTGCGAATAAGGTCTGTAATTACTGGATATTTATAAACAAATATGCAGATAAGACTACTATTTTTAAACTAACCTAAATGGAGTATTTGATGGTTCTAGCAATGCTTTGTGCCGTAAGATAGCTGGTCCTGCAGACAGAGCCTCTTCTGAGGTAGGTATTGTAATGAAGTCCGGGGGAGGACCACCATATATCTCAAGACGTTTTAGCAGTACTTGTTCCCATCTCTGTAAAGTCTTCAGGGTGGCATGGCACAGTGGAGAAGCTACTGGGAGATCTAGAACAAAATAATTAAATTACTTATAGAGGTATGGTAACTTC